TATATATATATATATATATATATATATATATATATATGAGTGAGTTCTTGAGGGCGATACATGAAACAAAGAAAAGCCAAAGATTTATAAAATAATCTTTATTTCCAAACGTTTCGACATTCAATTTAATGTCATCATCAGTGGATCTAAAAACAGTATGAAAATTAGTATATCTAGGTAATTATAATATATGTGGATTGGTAAAGGAACTATACAATAAGAGAAAAATTAACAAACAGCAACACTTAACGACAAACCAAATATAAAAGATAGGAAAGGTAGTAGAGATTAGAATTAAATAAATAATTAAAAAATATAGGCAAAAATATGTATATATATATATATATATATATATATATATATATATATATAATATATATAAACATACAATATATGTAAACTCGTATATATGTAAAGCAAACAAAATACTTATGAAGATGGATAATACATATAAAATACAAGTGGACTTACATTATGTTGGTTGGTTACATATAGAGAGGAGTACACAGCATTAGAGATTGGCACTAACATTTATACAACTAACTTGTCAACACTATGCATTTTTTATAATTTTTTGTATGATGTAAACAGAAAAATGATAGTTTTATTGAATAGAGACGTTTTGCAGAATCTTGTTTCATATCAATATGTGACCACGCGGTGAACAAAAGATCGGATTCCTCCTTACTCTGCGATAACTACCAAGTAATACTAAATGATGTTTCCAAATTTATCTCCTCTGAACAAAACTAATTCTGACCTTACTAACCTTGCCAACACTTCCTAGTTTAACTTCAGCCTTGATACCCGAGCTTTACCTACCCATGCATAGCAAATTTTGAATAAACCCTAAAAATTTTTTATTTTAGTTATTTGAGTTATTAGTATAACTACCTAGTAATACTAAATAACATTTCCAATTTTTTTCTCCTAATTCTAACCATACAAACCTAGCCTAACATTACTAGTTTCAACTCCGACCATTTTCTACCTACCCGCCCATAACAATCCTGGAATGACCCTTAAAAATCTCTCAAAACACGTGTTGGCGTTTATACATGCCTCGGTACTTGCAAAGTACAGAAGTCGTGGCAGAAATTACATAATTCTACTTACATTTTTGTTCAATAAAACTATCATTTTTCTGTTTACATCATACAAAAAATTATAAAAAATGCATAGTGTTGACAAGTTAGTTGTATAAATGTTAGTGCCAATCTCTAATGCTGCGTATACCTCTCTATATGTAACCAACCAACATAATGTAAGTCCACTTGTATTTTATATGTATTATCCATCTTCATAAATATTTTGTTTGCTTTACATATATACGAGTTTATATATATATTGTATGTTTATATATATATATATATATATATATATACATATTTTTGCCTATATTTTTTAATTATTTATTTAATTCTAATCTCTACTACCTTTCCTATCTTTTATATTTGGTTTGTCGTTAAGTGTTGCTGTTTGTTAATTTTTCTCTTATTGTATAGTTCCTTTACCAATCCACATATATTATAATTACCTAGATATACTAATTTTCATACTGTTTTTAGATCCACTGATGATGACATTAAATTGAATGTCGAAATGTTTGGAAATAAAGATTATTTTATAAATCTTTGGCTTTTCTTTGTTTGATGTATCGCCCTCAAGAACTCACTCACATATTTCAACATCAAAATTAACTACTAAATCATATATATATATATATATATATATATATATATATATAAATCTTATATATAAAAATGGAGCTCTCGAACAAATGATTCGGTAAAACTCGAAAACGGCTAAACCGATTTGGCCCGTCTTATTCTTGAAAAATTCGCGCCAATCCAGACATGGTCGAAAAGGTGAGATAATATTTCAAAATCACGTAGAAACTAAACATTTATAATTTGAAAATTTTTGTAGAAGCGTAATTGAAATAAAACAATGGACGGTAGCTAATACGTGAAATGTCAAACGTTTTTGACAGATGATGTTCAATTACGTTTAATAGGATGTTTTACGTGAATATTATTTATTTATGATTAAATTGTAGTAAGTAGTGTTGTTTGTGGCTTTGTTTATATACAAAAACGTTAGTAAACGGGCCGCAAGTGTTACTAAAGACTCAAAATATCAACTTTTTTGAAATGTTAATCTGCAAATGCACTTTTTGGCATATTTTTCTCAAACACGGTGTTCTGAAAGATCTCATTTGTATAATTATATACTCATTGGTATTTATAAAACATTTTCTAGGTTATATTATTTTTTATTTATGTTATTTAAATTTTGTCGAATAACCTTTTCCCAGAATTTATCGAAGAATAAATAGTAATATATGAAGGTTCGGGGTTAAAAAAATCTACCATCGATGTGTCAAAATCAGTAGAGTTAAGCATTGTTTAACAACAATATTTGAAATTAGAGGAAAAAGACGTATAACCAGGGAGATAAACGGTAATCTTTGAAAATCCAAAATAAAGTATTTTCTTCCGTTGGTAGTTTTTTAGCATTAGTTAAAAATGTGATTATTTTAAAAAATACCTTTAAAATTAAAATATGACATTAAACCTGTTTGAAACCTGGCCGTTCCAAGTTACCCCGTCTATAGGGTAAAAAGCTCTAGATAACAAATTATTGAAAGACAGCAAAAAAGCACATTTCTATAATGATGAAGTAGCTGACAGTTTTACTGAACGTAGTAACGTTGTGACATAATTGGTTTGATTTTTATAATATGATTAATATTTGCTCAAAATCAAATTGGACCTTTATGGCTTGCCCTGCTCTACATATATACTTTTTCTTAAATTTACTTTAATTCATCGAATGTTACTTGAAACTTTTCAAAAAGCAGGTCAAAGAAGAAATACTTAATTCATTTTCTATCTCTCCTCGCAAAAATTTGTAAATTTTGTATGAGCTCAGTAGTATTATTTACAATTATACACAAAATCCAGAATCCAGAAAAAATGTGAAAAACTTGAAACGCAATCAATAAGTCGAAAGACCAAAAAAGACTTGGATGGATTATACTATGTTTCCTATAGAAAGTGTATAAATCTTCCAGTTTGATTGTATGGACAAAATATAGACAAACTAATGGGGTTTATTGTTTTTATAATACTTCATTGTATATAGCAATTAAACAACACATCCTTATACACTTAAAGTATTAATATTTTTAATTCTCTAGAAATTGTTTAGAATATACCTTACCTAGCAAAACAACGTTTACCGGTTCAGCTAGTATATATAATATATATATATATATATTATATAATATAATATATATATATATATATATATATATATATCTATATATATAAAAGAGGATCGCTTTATGTGCTAACACTTATAACTCATCTATATATATAAAAGAGGATCGCTTTATGTGCTAACACTTATAACTCACGAACGGCTGAACCGATTTAGATGAAAATTGGCAGGGAGGTAGTTTAGAGCCAGGAGAAGGACTTAGGATACTTTTTATCCCGATTTTCAGTTTAATTGATAGTATATTTATATATATAAAAAAAATACTAGCTAGCCCGGCCACGCGTTGCTGTGGCTCAGTAATTGGTGGCAGAGAGGTAGTTTAGAGCCCGTTTTTCATTCTAATTCAGAATTAATTATTTATAAACTATCCATGTATATATATATATATATATATATTATATATATATATATATATAAGGTGAAGTGAAGTTTAATAATAATGCCGCGACCAAGACTGAAAAAGAGCATTACTTACATTTACATGTACATTTTGTCGAATAACTTATTCCCAGTTATAATTTCCCAGAATTTATCAAAGAATGGTTAGTAATATATGAAGGTACGGGGTTAAAAGTTTCACGACCAATGTGTCAAAATCCAGTAAAGCTGAAGCATTGTTTAACAACATTATTTGAAAGTGAAGGGAGAAAGATGTATAACCAGCTATAACCTTGATTCTTATGACTTTGATATTGGGAGATAAACGGTCATCTTTGAAAATCCATAGTAAAAGTATTTTCTTCTGTTGGTAGCTTTTTTATTGAATTGACAAAACATAGACAAACTAATGGGGTTTATTGTTTTTATAATACCTCATTGTATATAGCATTCAAACAACACATCCTTATACACTTATAGTATTAATATTTTTGATTCTCTAGAAATTGTTTAGAATATACCTTACTTAGCAAAACAACGTTTGCCGGGTCAGCTAGTATATATATATATATATTGATTGTTTCTTTTCCGAACAGTGAATCCAATAATAAAAAACGATTTGTTTTTTGAAGATTAATAACGACGTTTCGGAACTAGATACGTTCCATCATCAGGTCTATTCTTTGACAGAATTGTCAAAGACCATGTTTTTTTTTATAAACTATTAACTAACATTAATTAATGATGGTTATTACAGATTACTTAGAAAAATTATAAAGGAATGGATTATGTACTAGTGTAAAGAGTAAAGAAAAGTATCTAAAAAAGGTTTTATATAAAATTAAGAAGCAAAAATAGTTTACCTGTAATAATTTATATATCCATATCACTAATATTGTGTTAAAAACACTCGTTTTTTTGAAAATATTTGTAAATGTTTTTGACTTCACAAGGCTTTGTAACACATTGTAATGAAGTTCTGTGAGCCAGATGTAGGCAATTTATACGGACCTAGGCGAATATCATTTTTTATGGCGCTTGTATTGATACTTTACGAAAAATGGGAATGAATTGCAAATACTGAGAAATATTATTATGTATATATATGCACATACATATACACACATACGTACACATACATGAATATACACATATATACATATGCATAAATCCATATTTACATAAAATGGGAAACAAAAGCAAAATTTTTCTTACGTCAGAAATTAGTTATTTTGTCGTAAAAATTTATAATAGTTCCATCACTTTTAATAAGTCACTCATAAGTTAGTGAGCTGAGTGAACCTCGCCTTTGGGTGCAGGTATAATTTTTTGTTAAAATGTTCCCCATCAGAGGGGACATAGTGTCAAACAATGCTTGTGATGAATCAAATCATTTGAACACAGCGCTATGTCCAGGTTTATCAGATATAGCCCAAAACCCGCAGACCAGCTCATGCGACGGTATGCCTAGTAAAGTAGAACCAATGGCTGAACTGTCACATATAATTCCGGAAAATGTCATTTTACAACGGAATGAATCATTGAAGAGCCTTGAGAATCTGATAAATGAACTGCACATGATTGTCAAATCAAAGTCAAACATACATAAAGAGGTGAAAATAAAAACAGGCAACATAGCGGCTGTAATGAAAAAAATTATTGATTTAGACAACCAATTGTTAGAGGAAAAAGGCCGAACCACGGAAGATACGGAAGTAATGATAAATGAAGTGCAATGTTGAGATACAGCCCCTATAGAAAAAAGTGTACGGCAGGACACAAACAAAGCCACAAGAAACCGGAATTCACAACATATAAGCAATAATCAGGCTAATGAGAAAAATGGTTTGCCAAGACGTCAGACGATCATAGAAATATGTAATGAAGAACAAATCGAGGTAAATGACTGGCATAAAGTTCAGCCGAGAAAACAGAAAAAAAGGAAGCAAGGGTACATCTGTCAGAACAGGACTCTAACCATAAAATGATAAAAAATCATAGAATTTTTCCAAAACCAAATGCCTTATTGATCCGGCCGACCGAAAAAGTAAATTATTTCGAAATATTACGTCGCATCAAACATGATGTCCCTGATGACCAGGTAAATACAACAGTAGACAAAATAAACAAAACCAGAAATGGAGACTTGTTGATAACTATTTCTAAGAAAAGTGCGGACAAAGGTCAAGGGCTACAACAGATTATTGCAGGTGTGTTAAAGAATGAGGTCGAAGTTATTTATAAGGGGCATCAAGAAACTATAGAAATAAGAGATATTGATGATGAAACCTCAAAAATTGATATCCAGATAGCACTACAAAAAGCAACCGGAGGAGCCTGCAACACATCAGCAGAAGCAATTAGGATTCGTAAGGCATATAGAGGTACCCATATTGCTACTGTAGCTCTACCAGCGGCAGTTGTACACGATCTGCTCAAAGCAAGTAGCAAAATACGAATTGGATGGGTCAACTGTCGAATTAAAATCATCAAGAAACCAATTCGATGCTTTAAATGCTGGCTATTCGGACATTATGGATCACAGTGCAAGAGCGAAGTGAATCGGACCAATCTATGCATTAGATGTGGATAAGAAGGTCACAAAATAGCCAACTGTGTAAATGCAGCAAAATGTGCACTGTGCGCTGAAAATGGAAACTCTGAAAATGTAGCACATCATGCCGGCACTCACAGATGTCCTGTATATAGGGAGGCCATAGAGAAAATAATAAACGCAAAAGCATGAAGATAATGCAGCTAAACATGAATCATTGTGAGGCTGCACACGACTTGCTTATGCAGACGGTAAGAGATATGAAAATTGATGTTGCCCTCTTATCAGAACCTTACAAACAACTAACTGATTGGCCATGGGAAACGGATAGTACTACCAAAGCTGTTATTTGGTTCTGTGGAAAATTTTGTTTCCAAAATGTTGTTAGCAATAGCAACGCTGGATTTGTCGCAGCATCATTAGATGACATTCATTTATACAGCTGTTACGCTCCACCTAGTCTTTCTTTGCCCGATTTTGTCGATTTTTTAGATCGTCTTGTGGAAGATGCAAATCGACACCACCCCGTAGCGATAGCCGGTGACTTTAACGCATGGGCGGTAGACTGGGGAAGTAGGAAGACTAATGCAAGAGGTGAAGCACTTTTAGAGGCAAAGATTAGTGCTTATTCCCAAAGGAAAAAAACCACCAGATGAACCATCATCCTACCGTCCAATATACATGCTGGATACAGCGGGTAAAATTTTTGAAAGAATAATTCATCAAAGAATAGATGCAATAGTTGACCCAATCCTATCAGACAATCAGTATGGTTTTCGCAAAGGGCGATCAATTATCGATGCTATAAACTTGGTAGTTAATACCGCCAAGGAGGCAATTGGTGGAACCAGGTGGAAGGGGGGTTCGAAAAAGTACTGCCTTGTAGCTATATTGGATATAAAAAATGCTTTCAATTCTGCAAACTGGGATTGCATTATGAATGCACTCCGTGACAAGAACGTGCCAGCATACCTCTGCAATATAATCGCAAGCTACTTTACAGACAGAATTCTAACGTACGGTTCACGCGATGGTACAGAAGAATATAATATAACAGGAGGTGTGCCGCAGGGCTCTGTTCTAGGCCCTTTGATGTGGAATATTATGTATGATGGCCTATTGAGACTAGAGATTCCAGAATGTGTGAAACTAGTAGCATATGCAGACGATGTTGCCATAGTAGTTGTCTCAAAACAAATTGATGACATCGTAAGTCTATTCGATATTACATTTAGAAAAATTAATCAGTGGATGGGAACAATGAATCTCCAATTAGCCCAACAAAAAAGTGAAGCTGTTCTTATCACTAGTAGAAAAACAATAGAGACCATCAAGCTAAAGATAGGAAATCTTGAGATCACGTCAAAACCTCACATCTGTTACCTTGGCGTAATGCTTGATGCTCGTTTGAATTTCAATCAACAGGTGGAACACGTTAGTGCTAAGGCGTCAATAGTTAGGAAGAAACTTGCTCGACTGATGCCTAATATTGGAGGTCGTAAACAAACCAGAAGGATATTACTATCGTCAGTTGTTACTTCTGTGCTGACATATGGTATCTCCATATGGGGTGATGCTCTTAAATCTCAAAAATCGAGGAGAATGGCAGGGCCCTTATACCGTCTCAGTGCTATAAGAATTGCTTGCGCATTTCGCACAATATCGGCGGAAGCAGTGTCATTTCAGGAACTGTGCCCGCCTTAGTCTTAGCAGATGAAAGACGGACAATTTACCATAGAAGACATCAACAACTGAGTCCTGAAAAGTTAAGATTAGAAGAACGGCAGAACAGCATTGACCGATGGCAGCAACTGTGGGATGTCGCAGTAAAGGGCAGATGGACGCATCGTCTCATTCCTAACACCAAAGTCTGGCTAAGTCGCAAGCACGGCGAAGTAAATTATTATACTACACAAATGCTATCGGGGCACGGCTGTTTTCGAGCCTACCTACACCGCTTCAAGCACGATAGCTCGCCGGATTGCCCATATTGTTTGGGCGAAGTCGAAGATGCTGAGCATGTGTTCTTCGTGTGCCCGCGATTTGGTGCTCTACAGGATGATGTGGAAGAGACATTGAGATGCAGAATTACCCCAGGTAATGTTGTTGAAGTGATGCTGCTTGGAACGCCATAGACAGATTTGCGAGTGACGTTTTAATGGACCTGCGTTCTATAGAGAGAGAAAGAGCGAATGGGACTTCGCCCATTTAAAAGATAAGTATAATGTTTATGAATTTATAACATTGATTATAACAAGTTAAGAATTTATATCATTCTAGAACCTCCCCCCACAAAGTAATGCCTAACGGCGGTTTCCGTGGGGACCAGAGGCAAGGGCAAAGCGGAGATTTTAGTCGGTATTATACCAGGGCGGAATCGAGTACGACATACCCAGACAGAAGACCGGTCTGGGATGCGTAAAAGCATTTCCTCCGCTATACAAAAAAAAGATCCATATTTACATGTACATATAATTATATACACGACATACACGCAAGCACATGTATATAGTGTATATACAAAAACATACATATAAGCAGATATATGGATGTGCATATATAACCACATATATACATGTATATATACACACAAAATTATTATAGAATTAATCGTTTATAATTAGATTTAAAAACTAGTTGGTTTGGTATTTAGCCTTGTGACAAGTTACATGAACTTCCCGATATGTGTAAATAATCGACTTAATCAATAAAAAATAAATTAATTTATGAGTCATCATTGCAAATGAACGAACGAACACGTTAACTCGGAGTATTTTCTAAAAGCAAATTTTCAAAAATCAATAATTTTAATTAATCAATAATTATAATTGAACCAGTTTCCGTAGGACTTTAATGGTTTACTATGTTCAAGACCAAGGACACTATCGTTATACCAACTAAATCATCTAATTTTATTTTCAACAAACGTCAAAAAAACTACTCATTTTCTCAAACTTTGATGAATTTTAAAAATTTACTTGTCGTAAGGCCGTAATAATTCAGTAAGTTCTATAAGACCATGATATATACCGCCAAAAAAAGTTCCATAATAATCGGCCTAAATTTTTTTTTCAACAGTTAATTACAAGAAACCGGCTCGGTAGATTTTCACCTAAAACTAATCAGTATCATTCCCAACTAATATCTTTCGAACAGTTTTTGATTTTTTAAAATCGGTTCGGTAGTATGAGCTTAAATGTGGACGAAAGGTTTAACACTTTTTTCAAAATTACAAAGAAACGGCTCGGCCGATCGTCGCACAATACTGAGAAATGATAATCCTTATCGAGATACATCATATGCTTTTTAAATATCTGAAATCGGTTCAGGCGTTTTTGAGCAAACTTCGATGAAAGTTCTAATTTTGGCAAATGCCAAAAAGACCATACTAATTTTTGCAAACTTTGACAAATTTTTAAAGCTAAACCAGTTGTCGCAGGGCCGTAATATTTTAGTATGATCTAGAACAGGGGTCGGCAACCTTTTAACTGTGGCGTGCCCAGCCACTGTACCAATATGATTCAGAGTGCCGTTTTAATTCTGAACAAGGACGTAGCGTGCATTGGCGGGGCCCCGTATCAAAATTTTTTTGGGGATAAAGTTTCTGCTTCTATGAACAATAATGATCTGAGTGCTGTTTGTGTATCATAGAAGTATTTAACTTCCTGAAAGAAATGTTCAAATTTTTTTGCCAGAAAATGTTTGTTTACAACGATAGGCTGAGCCGATTTCTCGAAATTAGGAGAAGAGTGCTAAAATTTTCGCCCTCGTTTCAAAATCAAGAACTGTTCGGATTATATTCCCCGGACCTCTTTTTCTTTTAAAAAATCAAAAAATTTGGAATAAATCTAAATTCTTATTGATTGTGTCGATTATTTACACATATCGGGAAATACAAGCAAAGTTTCCTAAGACTTACAACTAATTAGCTAATTTTGTATCAGTTTTATTTTTGAAAAACTTTTTTCAGCATTTGCGGTTGAAACTGGGTAAATTGTATGCAAAAATTACTTCGGGAAAATTTTAAGCAAAAGTATTGAATTTTGACAGCGATATAATAAATATTGAATTTCATATTTTAGACATATTTTTCGAGTGTTTACAATTGGTTATAAAAATTAACAGAGATGATCTTACTGTATTTAGACGAAAGTTTCATGAAGACAGGTGTTTTTGCTAAATTACTCAAGTTGTAATTATTCGAACATACTAATTGAGTCGAAGTCGCTGATCTTTGTTTAATTTCAGAAATTAATACGTATATTTAGCAATAGTATATGTTGAGTTTGAAACAAGATTACGGGTTGCTATACTTTGCCTTTTGTTTTTGAAAACAGTCGTTTACGCTCCATTCCTTTGATAATTTTTCGAGACATTTAGCAAACTGCTGAATTAATTTTAATTTTTTAATTTGCACAAAATGACTTAATAAAATGCTAGTTTTCTATTCTATCGCAATCGCAACTCTCTTTATATTTTTACATTTTACACGCTCATGTTTTATTCGAAATTAAATTTAGTTGCAAGGAAGTTTTCATGATTATTTTAACTTTTGTTATTTGTAAAATAAGATAAAAATTCGTAAGATTCTATTAATATTTGGGCAGGTTGGGCCCCCATGGCCCGGAAAAATACTCTTTAAAACAATAATTTTACATTTCTCTTAATGAAATTAAATTTCACTGAACAAATTTTTCACGATTAATTCGCTTTTTTGTGAAATAATTTTTTTATTATTAATATTTGCTTACGGACGTTGAGGGCCCCCCTGGCTTGGGGCTGATATGGCTGATACGGCGGTAGTTACGCCCATGATTCTGAAATATATAATTAGGTTCTAGGAGAGATGAATTAAAACCAAATTTATTTTTTAAACATATTTATTAACAAATAACCTACAATTCTAACATAAACTAAACAATTTTAATGTGAACCTTGTGCCTGTACATTTTTGCTTAACAATTCAATATCCGGGGTATAATTTGTTACTTTTAATTTCACACATGATTCTGAATGTTCAGTTGTTAAACGATTTCTTT